CACTACACTATACTTGCTCGAAATAAATCAAACGAAAATTCCCGCTTTGCAGAGTACCCACTTCTGACTCTGTAGTTTTGTTGCGTATTCGTCTGAACCGTTGGCACAACATATTTGACGATTAGTGTAAATACATGCTTGCCGTTCATACCATGCTCGATCTCATCAACCGTAATCGCAGGTGTGTTTGAGAATCTGATATCATGATGTGACGCGATCCTCTTGAATTCTCCATTGCGCTGCCGCGCTAGCAAAACTCTCCAAGGCGAACACAATTGTGCGACGGAGATTCGGGCACAGACCAATGTTCTACGCTGTGCGCATCGTCGGTAGGGTCGTGTAGCTCAAGAAGATCGTGACTCCATGGACGGACAAAATGCAGCCTCTGTCAGAAAGTTTGTGGGGTTTCTTTTCTCTAACCTGCATGTGTCTAGTGGTATCGTATCGGACGGAGAAGTTGTACATATAGGTCTCCATGGTCTGCTCTAAAAGTAAACTGTAGTCGACTGTCCAATACACACGCATGCAGTATGATATATACGAATGCCAATGAAAACCGCTCGGATCCCTAATCCTCGGAGGAAAATGAATCTACAGTATTTCTATTGTCCTGACGTCCATCAAGCCCCGAACAGAAGTCATATCTTTGACTTGCGCAATGATATCACGATCTGACGCGACCCTCTTGTATTCTCCGCCGCGCTGCCGTACTAGTAAAAATGCGCCAAAAGGCTGCCCAAGACGAACAAGTAACCGTAATGCTCGCGATTCTGGATCATCCACCCCTTGTTTTACAAGAGAATGGCTAGGTGAGTCATCCGACGGAGAAGAAGGCGGCGTCCAATAATCCCCTTCGCTCTCTGTATCGTCTTGCAGATCCGCAAAGTCTGGTAGCTCGAGGAGAAACCGATCCCAGGGACGGACAAGCACCAAGGTTTGCTGGTTGGGCCTTGTCCGCGAGAACTGAACAATCGGCTCTGCAGTGGTGATCAGCAGGTCGTCAAGCCCGTCTGCCTTGACTTCATATCGAGTCTCCTGGGATGGACCGTAGCTCAGACTGACTTCTGTAACGCGGAATGCCATGCAAGGCAGACGCAATCTGCAGTTCGCGAAACGAGCGACGCTCATGTTATCGTTATCAAGCCGGTCGTAAAGTTCCGAAGCCAAACCCACAACCATGGGATTCTTTCGCAGGGAAGAGATAGTTGTCTGAATCTGATCTTCGGACAAAGATGGAAGGGTACGTGGAAGAGTGGCGTAAGAGGTAATATAGGCCGGAAGACAGCTGTTGAACTCGGAAGATTGTCCGACCCAGTCGAGGATGGTGATGTCTCCCGAACGAGCCACGATCTCCTGTAGGAGTCGCCCGAGCGCGTTCTGCCTTTTCTCGCCATAAATGACAGGTAGGTGGACACCGAAGATACCAAATAATGAGTACGCGACGTCTTCTTGCAATGTGGTGTCTCGAGATGATGCCCATTGAAGTCTCTGTCGAGCGTCGCTCATCCCAGGACGAAAGGAGATCAGGGCCCGTGCTTCTATTCCCATTCCATCCTCCAACTCCTGCATGATTACGGGGGACTCTTTGTGGTTGGGGGTGCGATCGTCGAGATATAATGACCAATCCTTTTGATAGAAGATAACAACTTTCGAAGCGACGAATTCTTGGAAGGTCCATCCTCGCTTGTTCCAAACACTCCTCGCCAGAGCACCGGGTTGGGATGAAGGAGGAACATCGGATAGGTAGACGATGGTAAGCGCTGAATGACGATACCAGACGAACATGGAGTTGACCGATTCTTGAAGCTCGGTGTTGCTCCTCTTGTCGATGCAACATGTGTCCATCCAAGCCCAGCGATATCCGGCATCACGGGCGACATTGCAGAACGACTGCAGTTTTGCGATCCCGGCAAGTCCATTCAGCTCACGCACATCTTTATCTTGGATGTCGTGCAGTAGCGCCTCCATCTCCTCCCACCTGTGTGATAGCAGGACGCAACGGAAGTACGTTGCCACTACATCTTTGATGCGCTCTGCTCGAAGATTCGAATCCTTCGTTGGAAATGAGACAAGCTCGTTGTACTCTGGACTCGTTTTGAAGGCGTTTATTTGTGCCACTCTATCGCACAAAAGACCCGTGGAGGTATTCAGTAGACGTAGGGGGGCATTTTCGAGTTCAATCCGAACAACTCTTTGAATGGCGTCTTCTGCTTCCGATGGAGAGACATACTGCTGACGCAGATCTACAGAACAAGATAGGCATTTCGAGATCATACAAAAGTTTCCCATGGCTTACCTTGTATCTGAGCTTCAGGAGAATCGTCCAACTTGGACAACATGATTTTGAAGGCCTCGATGGCTTCGTCGTAACGTTGCGCCCCACGCAGCGCTGTATGCGTCAACTCGTATCCAACATGAGACGAAGGATTGAGTTCGGTGACCTATGCATTACCGAAGTGAACATAGGCTATGGAAACGTACATGCCATCGTACCTTTTGCGCGTCGAGAAGCGCCTCCTCCCATAACATTTTCCCCAACTTCGCCCTGCTGCGATTTGCGAAGACGACATGGGATCCAGAATCCAGGTCGATCGCCGCCGAGTACAGGTCGATAGCCATGTCATACTTACTTGCAGCGAGGGCAGCATCTCCGCTGGCAAGACAGAGCGCGCTGCATTCTTCCATGAATGCTGAGTGAAATGGGGGCGAGAATTGTAGCTCGTGCGACATTAAGAACTCCAGACTTGCCTTTGGACCATTCAAGGCAGCTGGCCTTCGTCGTGTTTTCGATATTGTCCATCATGTATTGGTATGATCTCACGGCATCTTGAAGTGCACCTGCCCCAAGGAATGCATCACAACGTTTCTGGTGTGCATTAAACCACAACGATCTGAGATCCCAGCCGAAGAGCTGAACAAGGGAGTTGGTTATGAAAAGGATTTTGAATGTGTATTCACGCACCACTACCAAGTCCTCGCACATAACATGAATGGGTGAACTCCATGAGAGAGTGCTGGAGTTGAGAGCAGCGTTAAAGTGGTCAGCGGCTTCTTCGTAATATGTGCTATCTAAAGCCTTGATTCCGAGTTGAACACGCAGATATGCCTAATGTGTGAGTTGCAAAGATTAGTGTTGATAGCTGAGTGTGACAGATACTTACTTGCACGATCTGACATGCGTGAGTGTCGGCATTCGGACAACCAGTAGCGAGTTCTTTGAGGAGCAGGATTGCTTCGTCATGTTGATCTGCATTAAAGAGCACGATGGCCTAAAATACGCGATGAAGCGGAGAGCATGGGAGACAAATATAACATACTTTGATCAAGAGCAAGAAATGGAGGATTTGTGAATCTTGGTCCGTGTACATGGATGCGACATCAAATGCTACCCTCGCATCCGGGACACAGCCTGTTCCGCAGAGGGCAATACCCTTGGAAATGTAGCCTATCAATGAGGGATGAATGCTGATGGACTATGTCACCGTCGAGTTAGCCACTCGTAAAAGGGCGATGATGGGTTAGTTAATCACACCTTAATTGCGTCCTGAAGGGCGCGGTCCCAGTTGTGTTTTCGCGCCATAACGAATGAGCGATGGGCGTAAGAAGTATGGTTGTTCGGATTAGCATTGATATCTTGCGTGAGTAGTTCTTCGGCAGTAGATAAGTCCCCATCTATGCATGCAACACGGGATTTCGTGATGGCTAGGATCTGGACGAAACATGCTCGAATCGAATTATGACATATGAGTCAAAGACGGAAACATGCCTTTGAATGAATACCCGGAGGTACTGCCCACTCCGAGATCATCTTATCGCCACCGCCGCTGAGGATATGGTTGCCGTCTATGGAAAAAGTGATGCATCGCACGAGGAATGAGTGTTGGAATATGACAACGGTTTGTCGATCTGAGAGCCGCCAGAGACGAACACAGTTGTCATCAAATGTGAAGGCGACGAGTGTGCCAGCAGGATGAATGGCAATGGCACTGATATTCTGATAGTGGGCCATCCTCGGAGGATCACCGATCTGCCTCCAGGTTGCTGTATCCCATTCACGTATAGTAGCATCGCCCGCACAGCCACCTGTGAGAAGGCGCCTGCCATCGGGCGTCCATGTAAGTGACTCGGACGAGTTACATGTTCTCAGGCTGTCACGGTGAGCCGTGAAGGATGCGACGAGTGTCCTGGCGCCTGAATTGTAAATTTCGATATTGCCTCTTGTTGCGATGGCAAGAAGCTCTCCAGACGGCGAATACCGTATGCAACTGACAAAAGTATCACCACACTGAATTGGATTTCCTTGCAACTGCCCGGTTTTTGTATTCCACAGTTTCACCGTGTCGTTATGACCTATAGTGGCCAGTACTGTTCCATCGGGAGAGAAATCCAGCGAGGAGATCCCTCCGAAGTGGGCTTTGAATTTGATGGGTTGTATGAACCATTTGCCAGTTTCTGCATGCTGGACGATGACCTGTCCTCCTGCATCGCCGCTTGCTATCAATTGCCCATCTCGTGATACAGCTAAACTCAGCACTCCAAGTCCATTGTGATGCCCGTACATCTTGTTCAACACAACACCTGTTTGCAAGTCCCACAGACAAAGCGTCTTGTCGTTCGAGCCTGCAACCATACGTCGTTTATCGGGAAAAACTACGATTGCCATCACGCCATCTTCATGACCTTTGAACTCTCGCAGGGGTTTGGTGATTGGAATGAGGGTCGACATTTTACTGCAGGTGGATGGTGTTGAGCACAGTCGAGGTGGACTTTAGAGGGATCCTGTCATTCTCTAAGCACGCGTATTGTGCGTTTTGTGGTGCATTCACTGCCTCGTTTCATTAGACGCTCAGGACACTTATGTAACTCCCGCAAACCTTTGAATGTCGTGCGAAATGTGAAGCTCACCAAGAATGTATTAGGTAAGCTTTCGAATTTGAGCGTCTCTTACAATGTGGCTGTGTTCTTAGGTGACCAGCTGAGTAAACCAAAATGACACAGTGAGTACGAACGTATGACCTGAGCTCAAAAGACTCGCTTCGGACATGTCGACTCTTTTAGATCTTCCAGCACCGGTTGCACCAATTATCACATGATTCTACGCTCACCCCAACGCTGGCCACGGTCGTTGATCAACGTTCCTAGTTGCCTCGAACGAACGACTAAATGACCGCCAGTACGGTCTCGACATATCCTTTTGAACCAACTCCCCCATGGACAACTGTAAACCCTAGGCCGTTATTATCTCAGTTTCGCACGCATTGCGGTATCGAAGTGTTGCCTCCATTACCATCGCCTCGAAACGAGCTGTTCAACGACAATTATGTTGTCAGCACCCACATCTTACCTGCTAGTTGTCCAAGACTCACTCCAAACATCCCATTGCCTGTGGTCCCTAAATTCTCGCCGAATGCCGCAGAACGGCAACGAGATATTCAGCAGCTTTTCGCTGAAATTACTGAGCGACAGGTGCGCTTCGTGAAGGGAGAGTTAGGCGGAGAAAGAATCAAGAAGCCGTTATGGAACTGCGTTAATCGATACGTCAAGAGAGTTCAAGATGAGAGGAAGGGCTTGACATTATTCTTCGCTCACGCAAATGGCTTTCCCAAGGAGGTACTCATTTATTTGACCCGATTTTCGTGCTTCAAGAACAGTTAGTGAATGTGTTATAGATATGGGAAACAACACTGCGATATCTACTATCGTCACCCACAGCTTCACAGATCGACGAGGTGTGGTCTTGGGAAGCTGTGCAGCACGGTGATGCTGCACTAATTAACGAGACAGATCTCAGTGGCATATGTGAGACACCCCGCGCACTTCATCCAAAGGCTGAGATCATCCTTCGTTTCTAGTTGATTGGCGAGACAACGCGCGGGATATTGCACACTTTCTGTTATACTATCTACCAGAAGATGCATCTTCGAAGGTCTTACCGACGCATCTGCACCTTCTACCGGAGACTGTCAGTGAATCCAGGAAAATTAAGGGATTTTCATCCCGCTCCCTGGTGGCTGTTGGACATTCATTCGGTGGCTACTGTTCGTATGTTGTTATCGCTAGCGTTATACCCTGATCCAATATTGATAATATTATGCAGGATCATAGCGGCTGTCAATTTCCCTGCACTGTTTTCCTCCATCATTCTCGTAGACCCTGCAATTATTAACGATCACCGTGGCTCCTCCCAAAAACTAGATGGGCTCGTATTGTCTGCCCTTAGGAGGCGCGAACGTTGGCCATCTCGGTGAGTCATGATTTCGTGTCAGTGACATCTATGTATTTAGGCAATGTCACAAGTGAGGAGGCATTGCGCTTGTTCAAGGCCTCTCCATTCTTCGGAGCTTGGGATCCTGATACCCTGCAGCTATATGTTACATATGGCTTGTGCAAGGATTCACAAGGGGGAGTGAAGTTAAAGATGTCAGCTCTACAAGAGGCTTTGGTGTTCGCAGATCGTACGGGATCACCTGAAGCATGGGAACTACTGGAAAAGGTGGACGAGCGCATAGAACTACGTTGGATTGTTCCAGGGAAGCCTGAAGACAAGGGGTGCGTTGCTCAGCCATAGACTCTGCTCTACTCACATTTGTTTTAGATTTATGGGCGAACAAGCAACGAGGGTGCGAGTGTGGCGAAGGCCTGCTAACTCATCTAACGTAGTGATTCACTCGGCTGGGCATCTGGTAAGCTGATATTTTGTGTCCATGTGCAAGTCTAATTGAGGCGGCTGTCATTCAGGTTGCACAGGAATCACCAGAGGAGCTTGGTAAATGATATTTTGTTTTCTACGGCAATGTTCAGCATCATGATTTTTATCTAGCCCAAGAAATATCTACTTTCCTGGAGAAAAAGTACGGGCCACGGAGTAGAGCATACTTATGATATCCTTTGCGGTGATATTTCACTTCGCCTTAGACCTGTGACCAACAGGGCATAGAATACAAGAAATACCTGAAGCAAGCATAGACGGTTGACATTCATTGTCGCATTTGAAATTTGAACCTCGCTTATGAACATAGGATAGTCTTCTGGAATGACAAGGGTGGGTCATGTCTACGACGGCACTCTTTCTATCTAGTCTTCTGATTGCTACTTGCGTGGGTATCGCTTGACTGCCACTTCCTTGTTCCAGCAGGCACGAATAGCGCAACTGTGCGCTGAATGCTATTTCAGCGCGCATGTACTCACGTGAGGTCTTGCAGATTTAGCTCAACGGGGGAAAAGATCAACTGCCCCACAAGTAGTTACATAGGCATTTATATACTGTAGTGTATGGAGTAGAATACGAAAGAAGGAAATCAGGTGAGTCCAAGAAAAAGGTGACAATGAGAATATTAATGGTTGCCGTCTCCAGTAGTATTCAACGAGGTATTTTGACGAGCATTAAATATTACACACTCGTCCCTTCAATATTCAATGCTAGTTGCGATGGCGGCATGTTACGACCTTGTCTTGTTGGTCCATAGTACTTGATGTAAATGTGGTAAGCATACATTATATAATTGGCTATGAATAAATCAAATTTCTCATAATATACATACATGGTCAGCTTTGGCAGTGAAATATCCGTTCCACACCTCCGCTTTCTAGCTAGTAGCTAAAATGGAGCGTCAAGTTTTCAACACTCCAAGCCGCTTCTTTCATCTTTTCAAGCAACTTTGGGAACTTCACGGTCTCCCTCGTCCCAACCAACCATGTCACGATCAGCGTCGGCATAATTGCATCTCCGCAGCCCGCTTTTTTTTCTCATCGCCTTCTCATTACCGATATCTTATTGCCACACCTTCAACGGGACCACACTTTCCAATGTGAACAGCGAGCGCACCACCTGGAATGAGCCAACATCCCCGTTCATGGCATCCCGCCGACTATTTGTGCATCGGATGCAGCCGAAGTTCTCCCTTCTGACGTCTCAAACTCGTCACCGATTCTAAACGAAGGAGCGCTTTCTTGCAGCGCAGCTCTTTTCTAGCAAGATTACGACGAGCCTTCCTGCAGCCCGATCCTTGGGCCGTCCGGTACTGGGTGTGCTGGAGAATCCCTTCAAGCTTACACGTACGGTTGTGATCACGCTAGATTTTGACGAGGAAATTATTGCATTGTTGGTGATATCCTTCAATCAAATTCGGCATAACTTAAACATTTGAAGGGTGCGTCTTCCTCAAGATACCAAAATGATAGAGAAAATGGGTTTACCTTACTTGTCTTCATTACCACCCGTATCCAAACCTCTAGGAACAACATCACGTCTCTCTCGTCCTCTTACTCCAAACCTCAGCTCTTGAACCTCCCCTTATCGAGAGTGTGGACCAGCGGGTCCACAACGGTCTCATCTAACACAGGACGGAGGTCACGAAGATCACAAAGCGCATTTTGGCATCCACCCCAGCCGTACGGGTCTACGCATTCAGCCGAGTCATGGAGAGCACTGATAGAGGGGACGACTGACGCATCTTCGAGTATATGTGTCGAACGTATCAATATGCTGAGTCACTGCTTAATTTTTGACTTCACATTACGCTCCGTAGTTGATGGATAATGACACTCAGGGAGTCCATGTTTGTTAGAACTATGCGAATATGATATACGCAGTGGAGAGAATCAACAATATCAGCGATGCGCCGGGTTGGATAGGCAATAGATAGCACTCGTCTCGCTCTGATCCCAAACCACTGTTCCATACCGCCTTTCCCCCTTGAACCTTGGAGAGGTGCGGGTGTGCACGAAAGGTCGACGAGTTCAAGCCCCATTAATGTACGACGATCTGGGGAGGAGTGAATCGTTGCGTCGGAAATTGAAATGGGATGGCCCCGTATGTTGTAACTCTAACAAAAGGCTCCATGTCTGGAAACAATGTTTGAAACAAGGAAAGTACGCTGTACTAAGCAGCGGAATGTCGTGGAATTTGGACCCAATTTTTCCATGGGTATAAAGTATTAACTATACTTTTCTTTTAATCGAAATTGCTCATTTATAGCACACCACCAGGTCGAACTGCTGAATTACGAGTGCGTACTTTCCATTATCTGTGCTTCTCCCTTCTGTCGATGTATTTGTTAAACCCAGAAGTAGGTTCTGGATGACAAGGTTACATCTATCCGATATCTGCCTAACAGATGGGCTAAGCTTACTGGAATTTGGTCTGATATGCTGATGGGTGCATGCAGAATTGATCACTCCTTGTTGACTACACTAAGAGATCGAAAAACAGTGGCGATGGGCAAGGCACTCATACTGGGTTTAGCATGGCACGATAAGCTTGTGCCATATGCTGTTAATTCCTGATCCAATCCTCCAGCGCTTTCGCCTGGATTTTCTACGGCATCGCTGAGGAGATGCTGAGAGCCATGTTGATTTATTGATTACCAGTGAGCATTCGGCGCTGGGCGGGGAAGGAGGGGAGGGGAGGGGGGGGGGGGTTCATTACCTAGGATGGTCCGCCATGGGGAATGCGGATCCCTAGGAAGTGCCACAGACAACACGACTGTGACCCTTCATTAATCAGACCTCAAACCAGCCGACCCTCCCTCTAATATCCATAGGGGTGGAGAAGAAGTGCGGCACCCTGTTACAGCCATCGATGTAGCGCTGGTCACAAGGCTGAGTGTTGAATTCATCTATACGGCACCTACCAAACGCGAGGGTTATACGTGGTATGCACCCCAGATGAGTCCAAAAGACGGCTTGAAGAACAGATGCCAAACTTCCTTGACTTCAAACCAAATGCACACTAATATCATTAATCATTACGTTTTGGTCTCGTAGTTGATGACGAGGGCCATCTGCTCATACCGCGCATCTCTTAATCATGACGTGCGCGATGCTTTTCTATTATGTCCTTGGTTTCTTGTAATTTGTCGTCAATAAGAATTGCAAGCACTTTCTATGCAGAAGAGCTAGAATAGAACGTTTAAGTTGTACGCAATCTCCCTGCAGGCTGCCGAATTAGATTTCGTCAGACCCGAACCTGGCACTTCCAAATTCATTCAGCCGAGAACTTTGTCCTGCACAGAATTGCGGCGAGAATGGAACATTGTAATAATGTCCGCAACAGAACTATCCTCGCCGACTTCGGAATTTCTCTTTTCAGACCCAAACCCACTTTTAAACTATTCAACTAACCAATGTGCCCTGCAGAAAAATGAGGACAGAACACTGCGCGCAATAGAACTCTTCTTTCCAGGCTGAAATTTGCTCTCCCCTTGAAGCCAAATGCTAACCAAAGGAGAACTGAACAAAGGTGGTCTCAAGCGCTCATGTCTATTCCTCGATATTAATTAACCGCAAAAAAGCCATTCTCAAATATAACCCATATCACTTCATACACATGGAGGGACGTTTCCTATCTCCTTAGGTCGTGGCGGGTGGTGCAGTGACAGCCTACATATATATATACATAGTACTGTCTAACTGCAGTCTAGCAGCATGGTCGTTCACGATTCCTACCTACGAAAATACAACACAAATAAACTGCACCACACGACATGGCAGTGGCGGTTGGATAAGAAGAACGACCTTGACGGTGGGCCTGCATAGTGACGCGTGATGCTGGAATGCGGGAAGTATGGCTAGTTAGCACCGATAATTCGGGTGGATGGCACACCGCCAAGACAGCGTATACAGCCCAACCGAGATGTAGTAGCAAGGTCATCTGATTCTGATTGCAAAGCATGTCAGGCATGACCGACGATGTGTGAGGAACGCGATTTGGACAGCGGGCGCGGCATCCCGGTAAAATCGCTTCTCTCAAAATACACACGCTCACCAAATATTGTAGAATGTAGCTGGTACTGGGTATTTTACGTGCGATGTGCGAATGGTAACTTGTCCGGATGTATGAGGGCAGAAAGGACGGTGAACAGGAACTAGGTTTTTGAGACCGCTATGAGCACCGGGAGTTTGAATTGGTACTCCAATGAGATGATGCGCGTTGTATTCGCGCCTGCTGCTTGTACATGTGATCTCGGTTGATCAGAGACTTCTAAAACCATGACACCCGCTGCAAGTCTGAATGAGATGCCAAGTTCCAAAAATTACACGGGCGAAGTGTTTATATACACGATCAGCGCTTCAATGTCGGCTATCAAACCACGAGGCTTGCTGGTTATGTGCCTAGTCAGGTTTGCAGACATCCTATAGTCCAATGCCAAAGTTAAGTAGGTGCAGTCGTCATATAGAGTTCAGAGAGAGAAAGTATCGTGAGTTTCTTGTCACTTAGGAATGGTAACAGGTGATCTACAACTCAGCTTGAGCACAAAGTGTTCACGGCTATTGATCCCCTGTCAATCCTCTGGTGCAAGAATGGGAAAGGAGCATGACATCGGCAATATTTGTCGGAAGATGCGGTCATAGGAGGGCGAAGACGAGGTAAGGTATGTACACGTACCTTGTTTGCCTATTCAGCCTGTGAAAGCACATTCAATGATCTTCATGTCGCACATGGTCTGCACCTGTGACATGTACATAAGCTCTCAGCACCTCGAAGAGAGTGTCTGCGGGAGGTTTTGGTGAGCACGCTTCTTGATACAAATGGATAGATACTGACGGTACACTACCTCATAATTCTATCTCTTCACACAGCTGATTCTGCTTGTTGACATGCTCGGGCGTGTTGAGCTATTCCGCAAACACGAGGATGACGGATGGACTATGCATCTGATTGAGGCCGCGGCATGCCGCCTAGACGAATTAAGCGAAGACTTGCCGAAAAGTTCTTGACTCTGGAAAAAAAATAGGATTCTAGTATCTAAACATACAACAGCTGTCGTGAGCGAGTGAATTGCCTTTCTCCTAAGTTCTTCCGGAAGGTTCAAAGGTTGAGGTAAAAAATTTAGAACCACTCGCTTGACAAGCGAATGGATCATTGCGAAAGTTTCCCGCAGAATGCCGCAGCGAGCAACACGCGAATATCGTCACGACGCCGTGGGTTTGAACAGGCTTCTCGTGAGTGATGATGTTTCATTGCGCTTCGGTTGACAAG